ACTTGCCCGCATATGCCACGCAGAGGCGCAGAGGGCCGCCAAAGGCAGAGGGCCGTTAGGGGCAGCGGCAGGGCTTTTTTGTGCCTGAAGTCTGAGTCTACTCTGAAGGCTGCGATAAGAGGTCTGGCTAGCAGATCTCGGGCCAGGAGAATGCTTTCAGGGCTTGCTTGGGCGTGAGCCTGGGCTTCAAAGCAGCACACAAACAGGTCAAAGTCAGGGAGCAGGACCAAGGCCTGCTTCTCTTCGAGTTCGCAGACAGCTTTACGGCTACGTGGTGTGTGCCACTTCGGAGCCCGTCGTTTCTCAGCCTACTGGTGGCAGCGTCTTGGAGCCTTGCTGCTGCGTATCGCGCACCAGCTACTTGCCCAGCAGCCCCACAGAGCCTGGCTATACGTCTTGCAACTGGCCCTGCTTGTGATTCTGTTTGTCTGCCTCAAAAGACCTATCTCTTGGAAGAAAGCAGCCCTGGGAGACACCCTGGTTTGGTGCGGCTGGAAGTTCAACTTCCTGTCAGAGACCGTGTGGCAGAACAAATCCAAGCCCTCCTGTCCAGCAAAAAGGTCAACAAGAAAGCCCTGCAATCGTGCCTGGGTCTCCTCAACTGGGCAACCTCCATCAGTCACCACCTCAGATCATACACGGCACCCTTGTACTCAGACCTCAACAGCCCTCCTGGCACACTGTACAACATCCCTGCCTGCGTGTGGCAACGCTTCCTTTTCAGCCTTGACAACAGAGCTGTGGTCACCAGGACCATCCCCGGCCTACACATTTCAGCCTCTGCCCGAGTCATGGAGGTAGGCAGCCTCCGTGTGCGAAGGAGGTCAGAGTTCCTCTTTTGCCCAATTCAGACAACCCGCGATCCTACAGCCTCGGAAATAGCCCTCACCAAGGAAAGCAAGGGGTCCCTCGCATGGCTCCTGTCCTGCGTGCAGTCTACTCCCACGAAGCCTTTGTCAGTCCCCCATCTCCTCCATTGCCTTTCCGCAGCCGACGCAATGGCAGAAGGGGACACGGTGGGAATAGGGGGCTGGCTCTGCGCAAAAGACGGGCTACACTGGTTCTCCGAGGTATGGTCCATGTCCCACGTGCGTGAGGTCTGGCCTCAGCTTCACAAAGACGCCCAGAAGTACATAGCCTGCTTCGAGACCCTCGCGCAGCTAGCCTTGCTCCAGATGGCACATAGTCGCCTCCTGCTCAGATAACACGCCCACTGAGGCGGGAGTTAACAAGCTCTTCTCCACAGCCTGGCCACTCAGCCTTTTCCTTCGCCTTGTGGCCTCCTGGTCACACGCATTCTGTAGCCCTGCTGGTTTCCCACGTCTTTTTTGCTCAAGGCCCTTAGCCCGCTTCAGCTTCTCACTGCGGCAGCTATGCCAGCCCGAAGGCATTACCCTGCATCCCTCCCACGCAAGGTGGAGGGAGAATTTTGTAGACTCAGCGACCTGAAGCGGATGCAAAACAGCTTCGTCCGCCAGAGTCGTTTTTTAGGCAGCTGAGCAGTAGACCTTCAGCCCGCAGAGCTACACCAGAACCGCCGCGAGCACAGCACGCCTGCATGCAGTGGTCTTCAGCCCGCCTGACAGGTCCACTTTTCAATTACTGAGGTATTCTGAACTTGCAGCCTTGGGTCAGCCGCAGCCTCAGCTTTAGTTCCCGCGCAAGCAACCCTCATGCGGAAGGGGTTCTCGGGGCACGCAGGGACAGGGTTGCTCTGAGTCACTAAAGAGGAGGTAGAACGAAAGGAGATGCGGGCTTGAAGCCCCGAGCCTTTCAAGCCCTTCTTTTGCAGAACACTCAGAGCAACCCAGAGAAAAAGGAGTCAAGCCTTTTGCTTCTTGTAGTGGTAAGTGTTGGAGCTAGGAGCAGTGCAAGCCCACAGAACGCTAAGAGTTTTATTTTGGTCTCTTGTGTTTTGTGTGGTCTTGTGAATCTCATGCATGTCTGCTGCCACTACTGCTCCTAGGCCAAGACGGTAGCCCACTACAAGCCTTATATGTAGATCGCTTTCTACTTAATAACTAAAACTTTTCCCACCCACCCAACCCTACTTTTGCCTGACAAGCCCTAAGCCTTGACGCCCAGGTGGAGACGCTTCGTAGTGAGCCTACAGCCCCGTTTCACCAGCCTTCAGCTTGCTTCAAGGGAAAAGCCTTCTTTCAACAGTGGCAGCCTCAGCAAAATGCGCCCAACGCAAACGCGAGTAGCTCGCCTGCTACGAGGCCCGCTAGCCTACTCCAGCCCTCGCTTGGGCCGAGCTCTCAGGACAGAGTCCCATAAGAGCCCAAAGCCTAACCAGCTCAGGTTAGCCCACACGCGCTCAGTGTGGTTCTTTCACTACGTTTCACGCAGCCTGGACACTCCGTCCAGCCCAGATCTCTCTGGTTCTTTTTCACAAAGGGGGTAGAACAAAAGGAGATGCGGGCTTGAAGCCCCNNAGCAACCCAGAGAAAAAGGAGTCAAACCTTTTGCTTCTTGTAGTGGTAAGTGTTGGAGCTAGGAACAGTGCAAGCCCACAGAACAGCATTGTCTGGTGCTTGGTATCATTTGTTTTCGAGGCTTTGTTGTTTGTATTTAACAACCGTGGTTGCATGGTTGGACATTGCAGGTCGACCAAAACAAGCTTGCAATCTCCTTCACTCTTTTACATTGGACGGTGTCCATGTTGCATATCTTCGTCAGGGTTTTTGGATACACGAGCCCGTAAACGATCTTTGTAGCTTTTCCATTAACAAAATGCGGTCGTCGTTTTGAAGGATTGCCCACGCAACATTTGCCAGGCGATTAAGGAGCAGACGTTTCGAGAGCTCCTTCGTAGGAAAAGAAGTGTTTGCATATTATCTTTAGTTACTTTTGCAGCCTGCGCACAAGGGATTGTTTCGGAAAAAGTAAACATGCGCTTCACAAACTCGGCAATGATGAGCTCTTTTCAGAGCTGGTCCTGGCAGTACCTACCGATTGACGTGACGCGTGATGAGACAATACATTGCGAGTGTCCGAGTGTCAGCGTGGAGAGATCATCAAACTTGATCTGAGTCCCGGGCACGTTCATGGCGATGCCTCTTCAACATGTTGTTGTGTGAGTGTCTGAATTAATTGTGACCAGGCGTCAAAAGTGGAGCTGTGGACTTTGCGCCTGAGTGCAGATGCCCTATGGCTCGCTGATGCTGCACGAATGGAATTGCACACGGCCTGGTCTTTGAAGGTACCTGAGCGAGTTTCACTACGCTGTGAAGATTTGACAACTGCTCCTTATTTCTGCAATGCGAAAGAGCGCTAGCAAAATACATACGAATTTTTGAGTTTTCAATCCATGATTTGTCCTTTTAAACGGGGCTCCATGCACAAAAAATTGCTTTGGTTGTGGGGGTCCTTAAGATGGGAATTTGCACGTCCAGAAAGTGACCGAATTGTGTTCAACTTGCTGCTGTCCGTGCCATGGCCGCTGTGCAATCAAGGCGTTCTGTAAAAGTTTTGAAACACATTGTCCACTTTGCAGATGATGGACAATGACCTCAGCAAGCGAAATAATTAAGTGCCAAACTGCACATCTGATGCTGTCACGTTGCCATCTTGTACTGTTTACGATGCATGACGAGCCTCCCATGGCATCAGCCAATACCTGACAGGCCGCGTGAGGTTGTGGCACCCAGCAAGCAGGCATAAACATTATATTCAATATATGATTGGTGTCTTCAGCTGTGGTCAACGCAGAACTTGCCCCAACATTGGTTACAGGTTGTATCATTGGCCGGTGATGGGTTTTGGTGCCAACGGGAGGAATTATGAGAGGCAATGAACCAAGGCACAGTGTGATCGGTTTTACGTTGTTGAAGCTGTGGATGATATCATCTATCGGACTGGTTTGCAAACAACGAAATCACAATTTTGTTTTTGTAAAATCCAAAGTACTGTTTTATCCATGGCCGGTCCACAGACTTCTGGTTGAATTATGTTGTTACCCATCGTGTTTGTAAGGACTTTTGAATCAGCAGAGATGGATTAAGATGGAATTGTGTTCTCTCAAAGTTCATTTTTGTGCTTGTTCAGCTCATAAGCTAATACTGTATGTGTTGCGTGCTTTGGGAAGTAGGCTCTGGTGCATTGTCATTTTTTGGCTATTGGAAGGTTGCTGATGCCGTTTCTGAATCGGATTGGGGTTTGAAGCAATTTGCAGAGGCACAACTAAAGCAAGTACATGTACCTTCAATATTTGTCAAGATTGGCTTGTGAGAATCAATTTGACACAGCAGCTTTTCAGTTTTTAGGCTTATATGTAACGTACGTTCTCATTTCGCAGGCCCACTTTTGATTTGTAGTGTTCGATGTCTGTCAGAATTCGCTTGCTAGGTTTCCCTGCCGATGTTTGCGATTCATCGATGGCGCAGCACTCAATATTTCCTGTGAGATGAGTCAGATGAGTCTGCATTAGGAATACCGCTGGCAACACGTGATCACTTGCAACTTTGCACTGTTTGGTATCGGTACGCTGGGGCGCCGGATGCAAAGTCACTCTTCGCTTGCCAAACTTCAAATGTGAGATGCTTATTGGCTGAGAAGTCAGTTCCCAAGTAGTGCAGAGTAGGAGTCTTCCTCGATCGCCATGTCAAGCACTTCCATCAGAGCTCGTCCCGAGGAGGATGCAGATGATTTTGTGAGCGTCAAAAGCGATGAGGATCAGAATCAGGCAGATTTTGGTCTCGATGAGTGGCTGGATGCGATATCCGCAGCCAGCCAGGGCCTTAGTTTAACCTAGGTTTCTGGCAGAATGCTCTGCAGAATGGAACCACAGCACCATGGTTTGTCCTGTCATCACACTTGTGCCTTGCTGCAAAGTGCAATTGCTGTAAACCGCCGTTGTGACACTGAGGTGGCATCTCTCTTGACTCAGATGTTGTTACTGGATCAATTTGGTATGACCTTTGAAGGTAGACAATCAATGTTTAAGATTAAAACAGCTACCCGCGGATGTTGCCCGTGATTCTTCAGTTCTTGTCCAGGATCCAGATGAAGTGATGGACATGTTGGGCGAGCTACGGAGCTTCACACGGCCTCCTTCAGCGAACACACCCATTTCCATCCTTTTCCTAGTAGATCTGTCCGCAAGCATGAAGAAACGGGATATTGCCGGAAGACCGAACCTGAGGAGGATCGATGCGGTGGCCGAGGTTTTGAAATGTTTCATCGTTCAGCAGCAATCTGCTGGGGCCGTCATGGACCTCTATAGCTTAGTCTGCTTTTCGCACAGCAACTATGACGTGAGGTTCCAGCGGCGGAGCGGCTCTGAAGCAATAGCGGCTCTGAGCTCCGAGCATCTTGAGCCTGGTGGCCATGTCAAGTATGAGCGCATCGTGTGTGCAATCAAAGAGTTGGCCGTTCCCGGGCAGGCCTGCCGTGCAATCTTCATGTCTGACGCTTGTTGTGGTGATTTGAAATGGCTCCTCAACTTCCAAGCTCTCTTCAGTGAGAATCCGCATGTGTTTTTTCACTGCATTGGCTTTGGTGGCAGAGACCTTTCGATTTTGCAGCAACTAGCGCAGATTGGCCGTGGGAGCTTCAGCTGCGCCAGCCTGGATATGGACAACTTGGTCAACACCTTCTCAAGTTTGAGCAAGACCGTTACCGAAACAAGGAACGCTGTTGACTACAACGATCGCAAGTCACGTGAAGTCATCTTTGACAGTGCTGGAAGATTCCAAGGCAGAGTTCCTAGCATCAAAGAAAGAATGGCTTTTCGATACACGTTCTCGCTTCGTCAAGGCCAGCTGCAAATCAGGACAAAGGAGGCTTGCAATATTCGTGTGCACAGAAACCCCTTCATGCAGGGTGGGATGCGTTTGGTCTACAGGTTCCATGACCCGTGCATAAAGACAAAGATGGTTGCCAAACTCTCTCGGTACGTTGAGCATGACAGCTCGTGGGATTTTGTCAAAGGCTTCGTCAACAACACAGCACAGACCCGGTTGCTGACTCAGAAGTTTCATGACGCAGTTTGGTGGGCGCTTGCGGGCTCGATCTGGGACCAAGAGCCGCCTCGCCTGGTATCATGCACACAGGCTTGGGCTTATGATGTGGCAGAGACGCAGAGCTTTCCTCGCATGCTTCTCGTGGCAGAGGCATTCTTGCAAGGATCGGAGCGGGGCTTTTTCAAGTGGGTGAATAATCGTGGAGAGGTTCTGGTTCCATCAAGCAGCAGGGAGTACAGCATGGCAGTGGAAGCTTTCGCGCACTTCTCGCTTGACTACAGTCATGGCAAGCTAATGGTGGCGGATCTGCAAGGAGTGCTGCGGCCCGGAGAGGGGCAGTGCCGGCGTGTGCATTTAACGGATCCGCAGATTCTGTCCCTTGATCAGGATTTCGGTCCAGCTGACCTTGGCTCTCCGGCAATGCAGAAGTTCCGGTCGCTGCATGTTTGCAACGGTCTCTGCCGACGGCTTCACCTGACCTCCTTGAATGCAGTGCCGCAGGCACCTCATGCACGCAGTACTCTTCTCAATGTTCGAAGTAGTCCTGCTCGACCAGCCGCCCCTCCACCCTTGCCTCCCAAATCTGTTGCGGCTCATCCGCAGCAGGAGCGTGGTAGGTCTCCTACAAGGAGGGATGAAACAGCTAGCATCGATCGCCACGGAAGTGACCGAGAAACGCTTAAAGCTCAAGAGATTCTTCTATCCAAGAGCAGCAGCGCAGCCAAGCGAATGCTTTTCGTGGGTGAGTGCACGCACTTGTTCACAGTCGCTGCAGCGAAGCTCGTGTCAGCCTGGCTTGGACAGGAGCACCCGCAGCTGGATTGGTGCACCACAGAACTGCGCTGGCCAGGATCGGACAGTATGAGCGCAGAGTTAAGAGCCTCCGAGGCCGTTCTACACCCTTTCGGCATTAGTATCCGGGACGGTGTTGATGCGACGAGGCTCGATCTTCCGCTTCAAGGTCTTGCAAGTGCAGTTTGGGCAGCAGCCTCAGCTATTGCCATGCGACACCAGAAATAGCTTTCAGCATACAGGATTGCGGAGGTGGTGAACATTCGTGATTGAGTTGGTTGGTTTTCATTACCTTGGCAGCATGATGCAGAGCACGGGAAGTATTCTCGAGCATCTAAAGCCACCAGCCGAAAGTTGAACAGGAATCCGCATCCTGCTGCTCAGGTCATGCCATTTCCACACAACGTCCAGGCACAATCCTGCAGCCGAGAAGTTGTGATCGCTATACAGGGCCTTATCACGGGCTTTGTCCACAGTGTTTGCAAGCAACTCTGCGTCCTATTGAGTCGCCAAACCCAAAAACTCCAGTCCATATTGTTGAATTTGAAGGGGGATGATATTTTCCTGCACTTTTGTTGCTTGTGCTATGAGCTGCAGCCTTTGCCCTCCAGAACAGTATGAATCCCAGACACCTAAACCCTACGTCCTCAATCAAAATCCGGAAGCCCCTTGCAGCTCAGGTACTTGGACCTCGCAAGTGATGGGACTCTTGGACTCGACAAAGTATGGAATCCGGAGCGACTGTCGACGATAAGCTCTTTTTGGAATTCTTCGAGTATTGCCAAGTATTGTCTGACAAAATGTCAGTTTAAGCGCTGCCTGTGGATTACCATCCATAACTGCCTGAGGATGGGCGGTACTGTGAATGTCATCCTCCTCGCGCATCAACACCTGGCCTGGAAGCTACCCGTGGAGCTTCAAACCTGTTGCCCGCCTCAGGAATCAGGATTTAGGTTCTTTCGTGCATTTTCAAGCTGAATCCTGGTCTTGCGCGACTCCAAGTCATGCTCTTCTCCCACATCCCCCCAACATGCAAAGCCCTGCTGATATACAACGACCTACCCCAGTTGTGAACCTCCAGGATCAGGTAACTCAGATGCCGTGCAGGCGTCTTATGTCAATTCGGCTCGCAGTGTTGATACAATAATGAGATTTTTTGTTGCCAAGATCAGTTGTGCATTTGTGAACCTCAGGGCGCAAAGGAGTGTAAACCTTGTCATGAGGACTGGAACAAGAGCCTCAGACTCTGGAGCCCCCAAGCAATAAACTGGGTTGCTGTTCAGCGACTTAATTAGTTTAAGTTACCACAATGAGTATGTATAGTAGATATTAGGCTTTCCCCCGAAATAGTAACTCAAATTAGGCTCCTTAACAGCAACCCAGTAAACTTCTTACAGCCGCCATGTACCGAGAGATCCACTCTCCTCCATCTCTGCATGCTCCCTTTCTGAGACTTTCTCCAAATTGCATTATTGAATCCTTAGCCCCGTAATCCTTCTGCAAAACGCAGAGTCTTCTAGGGTCGCTGTGGGCCGCAGACTTCCAAACCTCGCCCCACCCCCTCCCCGCCCTGTAAAAACCATGTTTTTGGCCATTACGCAGACAAGGTTGCGGCACATTTATGCGAGAGGCGGGAAGTCCCCACAAACTGTGGCCTGCGCTGGGTTTCGGTTCAGCCTCTACGAAATTCAATTCAGTCCCACAAGGATTCACAATTTTGTGATACCTCTGTAATCGCGATCTAGAATCTGGAGTCCGTTAGTAGGGTAAGTAAGGTCCAGGTGGTGTGGCTTTGGCTTTTGGCGCTGTTTTATCATGTAAGTGTATATGCATTCCTTGCTCAAACTCCTTCTCATAGCGTTCTTCTCGGCTCAAGCGCAACAGTTTTGGGTTTGCTAATGAAATGGCACCTAAGCCCCTAAATCCCTAAACCCTAAACCCCTAAACCCTGAACCCTAAAACCACTTCTCCTTCAATCTCCCTTGATTGAAGCATCAAAATTCCAGGATTGGCTAGAGCGCAGGGGAGAGACCTTCCTACACAAAGACGTGTATGCTTTCAATATATATTATAATATGCCCCAATGGGGAGTACATTTAATAGTAGGGGAGTGGGGGGTCAAATGTTAGGGGAGAGGATTAGTATGATTGATTCGAGAGACTTATCCCTGCAGTAGTCTCTCTGTAATTTATCCCTACTGTTGCTGTACCCCATGTCTTCGTTCCCTACTCACTATCTTCCCAGAATTCGATCGCTACTTGACGACACCCAGACCTTGGCAGGTCTTCTGGATGGACCTGGTGCCCTTCCTGACCTACGGGTATCGGCCGCGCTTCGGGGACAGGCGAGATTCCGGAAGACGTGCCAGGCACCGCCCTGTCAGGTAGTCCTACTGTTCCGGAAATTAGCATATCAACTCAGAACATGGGCTCCTGTTGACAGGACATATCTTTGCAGGGGCGCTTTTCGGGTTTTCCTGCTGATGGTGCCACTTTGCGCAGGGTTCTTGTCACGGTATCCCGGGATTCATGCAACAAAGGGAGCCGTCCTGACTTAAATGCAAGGCTCAGCTTCCGGACAGTTTCTGATAATCATCACTGCGCAATCCTAAAATGGTTGCCCTCATACAATTACCCCCTTTGAAGCTCAGTTCGCGAAAGTCACCGTCGTCCTCTGGCAGGTACCACGAGGGTGACGAAGTGGTCATCGTGCGGTGGCGCAGAAAGTTGAACGAGGACTGCCCTCCAAAGATCGAAATGGTAGTTTCCCTGACTAAGGGGACCCCAATATAGACTCCAATATACTTGGGACACTTAAAAGGTACCCCTAATTTCAGACAATCCCCAAATGGAGTTTCCCGAAACGAGATGGGAAGCTCGCAGGGTGTTGTGTGAGGTATTGTTTGTTTCAAAGTTTCTTTGACAATGGGGTGGAGTTAAATTGGGATTCACCAGCCGCGGGTGTGCTTCTTCGGTTGCTTATTGTACTTTTAATCAAAATGAAGCAAGATGCCGCAACAGTGCTGGGAGTATGAACGACACCAAAGAATCAACAAGGGATTGACAGACTGTGCAGCTGCATAGAAGAGGCTGCGGGTTCTGCCAAGACCACAGCCTCCGCAATCTAGAACCCTTTAAGCCCTAAATAGTAGTTTTCATTGTATTTTGAATTCTCCCAACATATCCCCAATATAACCATATATAACCCTGATATTTACCCCAATGTAACCCCAATAGAATCCTAACATTCAAGCCGAAGGCCGGAGACCGTGAAGTCGAAAAGTGAAAACCATTGATTCCAGTCATCCTCAAACTTTTGTACCCTAAGCCCTCAGAACCCCTAAGAGCTAGCCCCCAAACCCCATGCCTTAAACTTTGAACCCTAATCCCTAAACTCCAAATTCTAAACCCTAAACCCCAAACCCTAAACCCTAAACCAAAGGACATGAGTCTTGGACAAAAGGTACCAAAAACAAAGCATTGGTTTTGCCTTGGTCTGCCAGGAGGACCGACCTGGAGGGATGACGGATGCCTGGGCTTTCATGGTATTTAGGGAGGGATGAGATGATTTGGGTTTACTGGTTCAAGGTTCCAGGAGTTTTGAGGGTTTGGGGTTTAGGCCTTCAAGGGTTTAGGGGTTTTAGTTCTGGGGTTTGGGGTAACAGGCTTGGGATTTGGGTTTGAGAGCTAGGGGCATGGGATCTGACGTTTGAGTTTGGGGGCCTGGCTGGCGGTTCAAGAGTGTTATCAAGGAACAAGTCAGGGACCGACAGAACATGCAATTTGAGCTCTCAGAAATATGTGCAGATCTACCGGACTTTAACCCCCATCTAGACTCTGTGAAAGCCGCACTGTGCCATGTAGAGCTCTTATGGACCATATCTGCATCCTGTTACTGTCCAAGAGAGATGCCAACAAAGTTTGGCGCCTTCATTGCTGACATTGTCCTTAACAACTGATCTATTTCTCATGTCTTAGCAGTTTGCACATGGCGCTTGGGACTTAGCATCTAGAATCCAACGCTGTGTGTTCAGGCCTTTATTGCCACAATCCCTTTCTGTCGTCTTTACAACCTTGCCACGAATGCGCGCTTCATCGAGCCTCACTTAGGATCAAAGAGTGCGCAGCGAGAGCGCCAACCGCCGCAGTGGCAGCCGTGGACGCAGCAGCAGCAGCAGCCGGGGTGGCCGAGACCGTAGCCGTTGACTTTCTGGCCGCTCTTCTCCAGCTTTGCGCAGAGTTTTTTTGTTTGTGCACCTGCCCCAGCCCATTTTGAAACGTAATTCTGCATGTGTAGTGGGAAGGAGACCCACAAGCAAGACCGCTATGCTAGTCTGAATGTGTGCATGTCTTAGTGCTGTGTCTCTACGAGTCCTGAAAGACTGCTGGGATTCACACCACAGTCAGAACCAGTGCTGTTGACTGCAGGTTTCTGAACTGTTTGCAGGCAAAAATGTTTTTTGATTAGATAGCATCAGGTTGTGAATTCCAGCAATCATGGGTGGAAGCGTGGTCTAATGGAACTACCTGACAAAGCTTCTACACAAAACTTGGTGTGTGCCAGGATAGCGCTCCCGGCCCCCAAAGTTCAACAGCCTGGCCATATGGAACATTCGCAGTCCTCACACCCTAAACCCGGAGCTCCAAAATCCCCAAACCCTAATCCCTGGACCCAGGCTTGTCTCAGCGATAGGCGTGGCTACTTTGATTTCTGAGGCAGCTGGTAGAGTGTTGGACGGCTTAGACTTTCTGGATTCGCAGTGGAAGTTACCTCCATGCCAATTCTGCAAATTTCGCTGGAGTCTTAAAGTATGTAGGTCTACATGTGCTCTGGGTCCAAGCCTGCAGAAGATCGATACCTTCGGGCGCATGATGTTGCCCTATGACTTTTTAAGTCCTGAAGCGCAGCATCCCTGAGATCCTTCCGGGATCTGGCTGATGCAGCAGCTTTCAGGCGTGGACGCAACATCCTTTATCTTTCGTGTCACATATCGACCGGTGGGGAAGCTCTGAAAGGAGGGCCCTTGAGAGCAATCTGAGCAGAAGCATGGTATACGGGTATAAGGCGCAGACTTCGAGTAGTCAAGGCCTCTTCTGAGTCCTTACCCCCCACGTTCCATGATGATGCTTTGATTTCATCCTACAGGCCAAGAAGGGGCTGACCTTAAATTTGGGTTTAGGGCTTAGACTAGAATTGCCAGCAGTACCTGCAGCAGCGCGTTCAATGTAGGGAGTGCCACCGCATTTGATTCGTTTCGTGCCCCTTGGCTTGTATGAAAACCATTTTTGGAACTCAGACAGCAACGCTCTTTGCGGAAGAAGGAATAAATGGAGCTGCTGCCCTGCCCCAGATTCGAGGATCGACGGAACGTAAGTTTGCAAGAGCTGGGGTCCCTTCTTACATTCAAACCTACCATAATCATTTGCATGGGGCTCCCAATAAGGGATCCCCACTTTTTCGAAACCTCCAGCCGGAAGCATCTGGGTCTGACACGAGTTCAGTTTTTCGGCATAATCCCAGGAAACAGCTTGAATTTCGTTTTGTCGAAGGCTCCCGATTGCAGGACATGTAGAATTCAACCCCTACTCCCTAAACCCCAACCCCTTGACATTAGAATCCTAAACCCTCAACTCCAGACCCCCTAAAGGATCCAAAAAATGGAACCTCCCCAATATGAACCCATTACTACATTGGGGTATCTAGGGGATGCTAAGGGGGTTCCATTTTTGGGATCCTAAACCCTAAACCCTAATTCCTGAACCCTATATACCCCTATATAACCCCTATAAACCCTTATAAACCCCTATATAACCCCTATATAACCCTATATAACCCCTATAAACCCTTTTAGGGGGTTCCATTTTTTGGATCCTTTAGGGGGGTCTGGGACCAAAAAATCCCTGGACCCCTAAATCCCTCAGCCTGCTCCTGTTTAGGGTTTAGGGTTTAGGGCTCATTTTCGAGTTCTTCTCCAAGTAATTCTGCGTTATTTTGGGGGTACTATCCGAAAATCCCTAGGCCCTAAATAGTAGCTTCCATGCAGAACCTTACAGAATCCGTATATAACCCCTGTATGATACCCCCAAACCCTAAACCCTATAACCCTCATAACCTTACTTTTACCCTATACAACCCCTATATTATACCCCTATTTTCGCATTCAGGTGGTTGCTCCAGACGTCTTCTTCATGCTATGGTAGCCGGTACCTTGGTGCAGGCTTTGCGGTTCCCAGGGTTTAGAGTCACGTATTGGGGTTATATAGGGATAATGGAAAAGAAAATGGAAACTACAGGAATTATAGGGATTCTATACGGGTATATATAGGGTTTATATAGGGATAATGGACAAGAAAATGGACACTGCTATATTATGATGGGATATATATAGTTTCGGGAAGAGGCTTGGGGTTTAGGGTTTAGGGCTGTCACAATTTTTGTGTTTTAGGGTATGGGGTTTCAGGATGCAGTGTTTTGGGTTTTGGGCTGATGATGTTGAGAGGCTTGAAGGACTCTCCTGCGGCAGGGTGCAATCTAGAGGTGCATGTCCATCGGATCATCTGTGGCACATTCATGGAGACACGTGTGAGCTTTTTTGCTTCGACGTGCAAAGCTTTCGAACTTCAGCACAGAAACTGTTCTTTGCGTCTCGTCATTGGTTCAGCCTGGCATGCGTCACTAAGTCCAATTTCTCAAAGCAAGGATTGTTGCACAACGTGTTGTGTCACGCAAAATGATGCGTTTGTTCATCATTGCTTGAAAAATTACCTTTCAATTGGGAGATATGGTAGTTTCTCTAAATAGGGGGACCCCAACACAGACCCCAATATACAACAGTCCTTATCATAGCGACCCACCCACAAAAAGGTACCCCTAATTTTGGGAAACCCCATATTTCGGCACACAGGTTCAACCTTTGGATCACCCGTGTGATCACTAACAGCTCGTCGGTTGCTTCAAAGCAGCCTCTAATGGGAGTTTCCATAAATACGGCGACCCCAATATAGACCCCCAAATACTATAGTGCTTATTATGGGGACCCTTCAAATTGCACCCATAATTCGGGAAATCTCCACATCTGAGAGTGAGGGGTTTTCCTTCAGCCTCCCCGTCCTCCCAAGCAGCTTGCTTCCGCGGCCGTTCCAGCACTGGATCTGAGTATAGCCTCCAGTTTTCAAAGGTGGCCAAGCCATGTCTCTCTGGCAAACGTTGACCTTCTCCGCCTGGACCTGCCTGGTCTTGAGCCAGACGGTGGCAGGAGATTTGGCCACGCAAGGTCGCAACCTCCGGCTTGTAGCTTGGGAGCTCAGTGGGCTTAGGCTTTACGTGGCTGGTTGTTTGTTGAGCCCTAGCAGCTAGAAAGGTTACATAGTTTTTATCGAGGAGGTGCGACAGGCAAGCTATTTCTGAACCTGTTGGGCTAGGCTTGCTCCTGAATCCCTCACAAGCAAGGCAAATCAGAGCGCAGAGAAGCAGAACGTCACCTCCTCCGCCTCAGAAGCATCACGGGCGTCGACAATCGCATCGCCAGTGGTGAACCAGCGACTTGGGCTGATTTGGCAGTGACTTCTCGAAGTTTGTTGGTGACATTCCTTGTACCTACCTATGTAACAGACAAGTCCTGTGTAAGCCTTTAGAGAACTCCGGCAGGACAACCGGCAGAGCGAGCAACAATTCGCATGCTCTGGAAGCCGTGGAGGTACGGACAGTTTCTCAAAACTTCGTTGTGGTTTAGGGGCTTAGTTCAGGGTGTCGAGTTTAGGCTTTGGTGTCTCGGGCTTTGCTAAGGGTCCGC